AAACTAAATTAAATTTTGTTATTGCAAAGTACAATCTCTGAAATGAAATTGTCACTAGATAGGTTTAAGAGCAGATCAGACACTGCAGAAGAAAAGATCTGTGCTCCAAAAGAAGAAAAGTACAGAAAGAAAAGAGAAAACAAATAAAATATAAAGACTTTGGACTGAAAAGAGCACTTAAAAGCACTGGCTATTTTTGTAGAAGACCAAGATTTGAATCCCAGCACCCACATGGTGGCTAACAACTGTCTGTAACTCCAGTTCCAGGGAATCCAACACCTTCTTCTGTCCTCCACTGGCCCTGCATGACACAAGTGTACTTACACGCATGCAGGTACAACACTCATGCACATAAAATTAAAAATTATTTAAAAAATAAAAAGTCTTGTGGATTTCATGGAAGATCTTTCAACCCAGCACGTGTGACTGCAATCCTGGGGTAAAGATACTTCTAGATTTAATGAAAAATAAATATTCCTGTACATGAATGTTCTTCAAAGTTCTAGTAGAACCTTAGGGCTTAAAGATGAACAATTATTCACAGACAAGTAAATGGATAAACTACAGAATGCTATTTGGCAGTTGAAGGGAGCCACTGTCAGAAGATATCATCATGAATATCAAAACCATAGTGAATGACATCTCAAAGCACAGGAAAAACATACTGCTTAATTTCACGCACATGGAGTTCTAGAACAAGGAAACAAAACTTTAGTGACATAAACTAGATCCTAGAGCCCATGTTGGGGAAGCTTGACTGAAAAGAGGTAGAGAGGATTTGAAAGGTGTGGAAATTTCTATACTTCTATTGGGGTGGTGATTACACAAGTACACACTTCTGTCAGAACTTAGCAAACTGTTTCCAAAATGGAAGAATTTTATTTCTGAAAAATGTAATCTGAGTCTTAAAGGGGGATAGAGCTTTTAGAAAAATGAGAAAATCTTTCCATATAAGGAAATTATCAGTGATTTTAGAAAACTTTCATTCAATTATTTTTTAAAAGTCACTTGGGGATGGGAGATGGTTCAGTGGATAAAGTGCTTTCCAACTTAAGCGTGAAGATATGAATTCAAATCCATAGAACCCATGTAAAACCAGGCATGGTAGTATGTAATCCTAGCACTCTCATAGCAACTTGCAGTGAGCTGGAAGATAGGGTCATCACTGGAAGCTCCTGGGCCAGCTAGCCTGGCTTACATAGTTATTATGAAGAACAAAGAGATCCTTTCTGAAATACCTGAGGTTGTCCTCTGACCTCCACATATGTCATGGCATGCAGGAGCCTGCACTCACATACATCATACATACAACTTTTATTTATTTTTATTTTATGTGTATGAGAGTAATGACTGCATGTACATAAATGCACCTGTGTTGTGCAGTAAGAGGGCAACAGATCCTCTGGAACTGGAGTTATGGACAGTTGTTAGGTGCCATGTGGGTACTGGGATTTGAACCCTAGTCTTCTTCAAGAATAGCAGTGCTCTAAACCACTGAGCCATCTCTCCAGCCCTGGCATATAATTTTTTATTGAAAAATTTCATTGAAAAGATGAATAGACTCCAGATTTCCATTAAAAAGTCTGCAAATGCAAGATATTTTATCATATTTACCTATAAAGAGAGAAAGCATAGACTTTTTTACTTCAGTTAGTGCATCTCAATTTCCTTATTCTTTTTTTAATATTTTATTTTTTTATTTTATGTGTATGCATGTATTGCCTACATGTAGATAAGTGCACCGGTGTCTTGCAATGCTCATGGAGGACAGAAGAGGCTGTTGGATCCCCTGGAACTGGAATTACAGACAGTTTTTAGCTACCATGTGGGTGCTGGGATTTGAACCTAGGTCTTCTCCAAGAACAGCAGTGCTCTTAACCACTGAGCCATCTCTCCAGCCTTGGCATATAATTTTTTATTGAAAAATTTCATTGAAAAGATGAGTAGACTCAGACTTTCATTGAAAAGGTGAGTAGACTTCAGAAGCAAGATATTTTATCATATTTACCTACAAATAGAGAAAGCATAGACTTTTTTACTTCAATTAGTGTATCTCAATTTACTTGATCTTATTATTGGAATGTCATGTGTGCCATAGTGAGCATGAAAGTCAGAGGATAATTTTGTGGAGTTAGTTTGCTCTATCCACCTTTAAGTGCATTCTAGAGATCAAACTCAGGTTACCTAGCTTTTTTGAAAAGAGCCTTTACAGGCCAAGTCATCTCACAAGCCCACAGATCTAGGGTTTTATTCAGCTGTAGATACTGATTTAGGAAATTTAGGGTAGGGCCTGATATTCTGCCATGAAGTCAACATTACTGATTCATCTACTACAGTAAGTGGCACGGACAGACTACTCTCTAGGCACCGATGAGGTATATCGAATGTCAGCTTGGTCCATTAGTTTCCAAGATCTATGGGATCCATTCCTTCCATCAGTTCCAGAATAGTACTTAACACAGAAAGCTAACCCAGCACTCTTCCGATTTGTGAATGTAAACAGAAAAATGCTTACGACGTTGTGAAAAGAAACAGTGGCCTTACCTCAGCAGCCCTGTGTTCAAGTCCCTGGTTGGTTTCTAACGAACTGTGATAAAGGGTTAGGCAGCTCAAGGCTGCAAATGAGAGCAGAGTTTCCTGTTTCTCCTCCAAAGCTGTTGTGAAAGATTACAAAAGAAATGTAAGCGAAAGTATTAGCAGGAACTGGGGCCTAAGAAAGGCTTTTAAAAAGTCAAGCAGATGACGAAAGCAAATTTACATACTACTGAGAGGGCAAAAAAAGCAGTTTAAGGAAGGGGCGGGGCCTAAAGACAAGAGGTGGGGCTTCGGGAGTATCCTCCGTGGATGTGCACGGAATGTACCATATTGTGGGGAGGGGAGGCCCATAAGAAATACTGAAAGAAAAGAAGCTTCGCCCGTAGAATCGCTCCTAAATCAAGACATCTAAGTAGCAACTTTTTTCTCATTCCCTGCGTCCACGGCCACGAACCTGGACGTTCAGGGAACTTGGTTCGGTCTCCTGGTTTCAAAGCGTTCGCTGCCCACGCCAGTGGGTGCCCTTCTCGCACCCGGAGCCCCGCGCCTCGCGGTGGGCCTTTCCCAACCCGGCCGGGGCCGGGTTCCCACTCCCGGGAAGGAGGCGGGACGGACTGGTCCATGTGCGCTCCACACGAAGGGGCGCGCGAGCGGCGGGGCGAGCGCGGGAGCGGCGCGGACTGGCGCCTCCGGGGTGCGGGCGGGACGCGGCTTGGTTGGCTGCTGCCGCTGGTGGCTGGGTGAACTCGGGCGGGCTCAGCGCTGCTCTCCCAGCGGGCCGCTCGCGGTGGCTCTGGCGGCGGGGGCGGGGCGGAGCGGTGCCGTCTGCGCTGCCGCGGCCGCGGGGCGACGGAAACAATAGTGCGGGAGCTGGAGCAGCGGACGGCGGCAGCCGGCGGATCTGACGGTAAAGACGCGTCGCCTGCTCCCCAGCGCCGGTGCCCGGACGGACGGACCGACGGCCGCAGCCCCGGAACCGGAGCCCCGCGGACCCGACACTCTCGAGTGGGCGGCGGCGCCTTGGATTCGCAGCGTCCCGGGACCGCGCCGCTGTCCCCTCTCGGGATCCTCCGGCCGCGGCCGATCGGTGCGTGGTGTCGCTGTCCGGGTCTGGACGGGCCCGGACCCTCCCCGGGTCCGCGTCCCAGCGCGCGTTCCTGCCCAGAGCTCGGGTGGGAAGCCGGTAACGCCGAGTTAACGGGACCAAGTTGGCAGAGCCGAGTCCCCAGCGGCTGCTCGCTGCCCGGACCCTGGTCAAGTTGGTTGACAGACCCGGTGGCCGCGTGGGTCTTTAAGCTGTTGGGGCTCAGATCACGGGAGGACTGAACTGCCTCTGACCTTTCCTTTAGTTCGTCTTGACCCGAAGCCCGGGCGGCCGGGGCACTCGGACATAGAATCACCATGGTCAGGCTTTTTAGTAGCTGTTTTCTCGTAATAAAACTGATACTGAACTCCCAAGTATGGCGATGCCTGTTGGATGGGGCTGTTGCAAACACCATCTTTCTAGAAGTTCTCAGAATTGCAGGCCACAGTGGCAAGTTCTTGAAATTGTGTAACTTTTGCCTTTTCTGTTTCTTCATAGGGGCACTATGAGCGAAGAGGAGCAGTTTGTAAACATTGATTTGAATGATGACAACGTTTGCAGTGTTTGTAAACTGGGAACAGACAAAGAAACACTCTCCTTCTGTCACATTTGTTTTGAGCTAAATCTTGAGGGTGAGTTAGTTCGCAGTGGGGTTTTAATCGCATGCCATGAACTTCATACAACTTAACTTAACGCTGAGCAGGGAGGGTAGAGCTGTAAATTCTTGCGTGCTCAGAAATTATCCTAAGTGTGAAGGTCTCTTAAAGAAAAGATTTTCTGGTTTTCTGGAAATGAAGACGCCAGAATTAAGACAGTTATGAATTGAGTGAATCTTTGTTTTTAAAACCACCTACACCCATAACTTCATTTTTAGTAATATGAAACGAGATATGACAAACGTTTTCTGGTTGAGAAGTTATGAGGCTGTCAGATTTTTAAAGGCCAGGTATGTCTCTTGTATTAACATGACCATTAACACTGGTGGGCTGGTGTAATTTCATTCCTTTGAACCTGAACTATTAGTCCCCAGTTTTCTCATCATGTAGAGAAATGTTTCTAAAATTCTAGGTAACATCCTTTCGGTAACATTTTATCATGTAGAGAAATGTTTCTAAAATTCTAGATTACATCCTTCTGTAACATTTTATACCTGAAGGGATTTTTAAATTTTCTTTGTAGTAATATCACTAAGATTATATGGACAATTTCTCAAGATTAAATCTCTTGCTGAATTTTGGATTAATGCAGTTAACTTGTCCATGGATACCAGTAGCTTGTTTCTAAGAAACGTGGGCTGTTAGTTTAATCTTCACACTGTCATTCTGAAACCCCGATTGTTTCAGATACATATGAATCACACTGAAAGGAAACCTTACCTTCCTGCAAAAATAAGAACTTGGCAGTAATTTGAATTTGGGGTTGTGAATATATTTGTTAGTAGAGACCTTAATTAGACTTAGATTTTAGACAGTTTCAAAAGAGCATGTTGTCTTGTGCTGGACTATGTATTTGAAGAGTTTCAGGATCTTTACTTTGACTGTTTAGAGGTATGAAATGTTCATAGTTAAACACACATAGAGACACGTGCACTGTGATCATAGGCTTGTTAGGACTTGTTACTCAGAATAGTGTGGCATAGAGCATCATAGATTTCCTGTGAGTTGAGTAGAATGCCTATAACTTGGGCTTTAATAAATGTAATTACAACTAATTTCAAAAGGATGACTTAAAAATGGGATTTTTCTGTAGCATTTCGTTGCCATGTTCTTTATCGTGCTGTGGTCTTTGAAAGTAATTCCTTGTCAAAGTTTGCACTTGTGTTGGGCAAAGATTGTAAAAAATATCAACTGCATGCTCTGTATTTTCCATGTTAGAAACTGAGGGTCCAGTGGTTGGACTCCTCTGGGGTGCTGTAGTGGTGACAGCAAGCTGTTGTTATGTGCCAAGCACGTCTGTGCCAAGCACTGTACTAAACTTCTTACTGGATTATCTTAATTCAGAATAGCTCTGGGATGACTGCTGTTATTCCTCATTTTGATTGTGATGGAACTGAATCTTAGAGAGTGAAGAAATGCACTTTGAAGTCACATAGGTATTGATTGGCAATCCTGGGCTTTGAAGCTCGATTATCTTGATCTTGTGTATGCGATCTTAAATCCATTGATATGCTGTCCATAGTTAATTGTAGGACTGTTAGAAATCTCTCCTCCTGAATCCTAATTGGTTGTTTGTTCAACCAGCTTTTCCTAACCAGTGCTCCCTGCTAAATGAATCATGCCATAATAAAAACATTGCAGAATTTTTCATAATTGATTTTAGTCTTTAAAATATTCTTTGTAACTGAATTATAAACATTTTAGCTCTATCAAGTATGATATAGGGACAGTGTTTTTGAAATAGTAATTGCCTATCAATGTAAAAGACAAAAGCTGTTCTCAATATGGATTAGAACTATTTTACCTTCTATGTAGATTCTAGGTATTGAAACACTAATTTAACTTTTGTGGAGAAAATTAGAATTATACCTATGAGCTATTATTATTAACATTTTGATCAATTTAGTGTCATAAGATTGTTGTCAGAAAATGGAGAAATGATTTCCATAAATTTCAGGTTTTATAACAGTACCCAGGTTTCAAAGAAAAATCAATGGAGGGCCGGTAAGATGGCTCAGTGGGTAAAGGTGCTTGCTGCCAAGCCTGATAACCCGAGTTCAATCCCTGGGACCCACATGATAGAAGGAGAGAATATACTCATGAAAATTGTCCTCTGGCCTCCACCTGTGTTCTGATGTGTGCTCACCCACACACAAATAAAGAAAATGGAATAAAAGTGTTTTTTAAAAAATCATTTTTAATATTTTGTTGTAAGGAACAAAGTCTAAGTCAGGAAAGTACACATGTGGATTAGAGGGGTTGAGGTTTTCGGTTTTGTTTGAGTTATGAATTGTTATGAATTTGTTATTTAATTTTCTGAAGCTCTAATTTTAGATGCTGATACTTCAACAGCAATCATCATAGGTGCTGGCACTCAGGTCTTTATTTCTAAATTCCATTTGCCACTTGAAGAAAGCAGGACTTCCTAGGGATGTGGCTAACTCAAGATCTGGGACAGGGAAAGGCAAAAGGTGATACAGAGGCATTCTGTCAGGTGACAGGAGGCGCTCTGAGACTGAGGGATTGAAAAACAAGTGGGAGTCAACAGAGGCTCTCAAAAGATAAAGGGAAGGAACCGGCCTTCCTTAAGAATGTTAGGAGATAGAGGAGAAATATTATATTTTCACTTTTAATATATTTGTTAAATCATGATCAATAGAGGCTAAAACTACTGGGTGAAATTTTGGGGGAAAGAAGACATTCACAGACCCTCCAGATGTCACCCCACAGGTTAATTAGTACAAGTAGAATAGATCAGAGATTCTCCAGCTGATTATACATAGCCCCTTGACCTCAGTTTCTAAAATGCAGATTCTGATTCCCCAGGTTTGGGGTGAAGCCTGAGACCACTCATTTCTGATAAGCTCCCAAACTGAGCCCTGATTACTCATTTATGGATGCTCTGCAAATTGTCAGGGATTAAAGATTTCTCACACCTCCAAAAAAATCGTTTTTAAAAAAAGGGGATCTAATCACTTGTCAGAAAAATTATAGGTACATTCTTCATCTTTGTTAACGGGCATTTAAAAATATTATTTCAGTTTTCTTGCCACTCTCAAGTTCTTAGCATATTGCCAGCCAGTAGACTGTAAGAGAGACTGTTTTTTAAATTTCATTTCAATTTTTGTGATTTTCATACAATATAGTTTGATAGTAGATCCTTTACCCTATCCGCACCATCCCACTGACCCTGGCCCAATTCGATGTACTGGTAAGAGGCGCTGTTTTAAAAAATTTACCTCTGCTAGTTTAGTATAATTTTCTTTATAGCATGCTAATATTGCTGTTAACTGATCTCTTAACAAAAAAAATTTGCTGTCAACCGTTTTGCTTTTTTTCTGCAATAAGGCTTAGTATCTTAAGGAATAATTGCAATTAGGCTAGTTTTGAGTTCACACATTGGTTTAAAAAAATAACATTTTATGCAGTTTGGAGTGCTTGCATCAAATCAGCACTGGTCTCCTGATAATTGGCCTCTTGTTTAGAAGCTGTGTGCATGCATACATTTCTACAAAACAAAGACAAAGGAAGAAAGAATTAACAACAGTCTGATCTTGTTGAAGGGGGTTTGTATTCTAAGCATGGCTCTAAGTTGTCTTTTCTCTGTGGCTTCACAGTAAATGAAAGGAACGGGGTACCTACTAACTTTATGCACTTGTAAGCTACAGGTCTGTTCCTCAAAAACCCAAGAAATACTTCAAGGGCTTAAATCATTAAATATTCAGAAGCCTAACTTTGTAAACTCCTAACTCACCATTGGAATCATTTATCTGCTTGTAGATTAGGAGACAGATGCATAAACTCTCTAAACTTGTGGCCTAACATTGACCTTGAGATACCTGATCACTTCCTTGAGTGACCAAGTACTCTCATAGCATCTAGTTCAGAGTGTTAAAATCTCCATAACTGTTGAATAACCACATCACCACTAAACTGAAACCTAGAAGAAAGCCCAGAGGGCTGGGAGCCAGTAATGAACCTCAGCTGTAATGTCCAGTCAGCAATGGGCTTGTAGGTAGACCTAGGCGTCTCTAATTCCTTTACGTTCTGGCTTCTCAGTTGTAGCTCATTTATGCCTTCGTATAAGTAACTTGCTTTCTTTTCTGCAGAGAACAACTTTGAGATGACTAGCCCAGTTCCTCTTACACCAGATGTTTGGGTGTAAATGGGCTTCATGGCTGAGCTGTAAGCCGGTGCCTGGCCTCTCTATAGTCTGTTGTCTTCTGTCTCCCTGACTTCCTATTCATTCATGGAAGCAGAAGCAGATCCAGCTCCTGAATCTCTCCAACAAGCAAAATCTGTATTTTCTCTTCATAAGGGTCAGGTGAGCCCAGTGCTCACTTTCATTCTCCCTCCATTCTGTGCCTTTGACCATAGCACTGCTCATGGTCAGTAATAAAGGACCAGTTTGAAGCTTAGTGTTAAATCCTTGATTTAACTTGGGAGTCAGAACTGGTTATTTCCTGTTTAAGCTCTTCCATTCTTCCTTCATGTCCATCTCCTAATATTCTAGCATCTTTCTACCCAAGGAAAGAGACCTGCTTGAGGCCCATAAACAGCAAACTCCATCTGACCTCTCAGCCTTTCTGTATGTATTGTTCTCACAAAGAGGCAACACCGTATGTTAAGATTAACTAAAAGTAGCATTTTTATTATTAAAGCATTTTATTATTATTTTATTATTTATTAAAGACTAGTATGGCTTCTGAACTTCCAGTGATATTTGATATACTTTCCCCCTTAACTGCCTTTTGTTGTCATAAATAACGACTGGTTTCGCTAGTAAAACCTCATTATATAGAGAGAAGAGGTGGGAGTGAATGTGGGCTTAATTGGTGATAAGTTATAGGATTTTTTTTTATAGAAAAGTAATTGAAACTAGACTCGGTGTATAGCTTAACTTAGAGCCCATGTATGAGGAGCCAGGCTCAAATTCTTACCCCCAACCTAACTGTAGTGACCTATTTATAATCACG